CCCTACTTCAAAGACCACCCCCACCAAGTCAGTCCCCTTTTCTGTTGGCTTGTTTGTCACCCACCTCTCCCACAGTGCCAAGCTGGGACTGCTCAGAATTTCTGAAACCAGAGTTCCAATTGAGACTTTGCTACCCTACCTGCCATGTTGATCAGGGACCACTGTGAGTCTGAACCCTGAAACTCAGTGACCCTGACAGACTTGGGTAACAGCAAAGACCAAACAGAAGCCAAATGTCTTAACTTCAAGGCTACATAGGGAGGCCTCTGTCTCAAAACAAACTAACGGAAGTATGGTATTGGCATAAAAACAGACAACAATGATCAGTGAAATAGAATTAAAGACCCCCGACATGGGGCTGGAGAGATGGCTCAGTGGTTAAGAGCACTGACTGCTTTTCCAGAGGACCCGGGTTCAATTCCCAGCACCCACATGGCAGCTCACAACTGTCTGAAGATCAGTTCCAGGGGATCTGACACTTCACACCAATGCACATAAAATAAAGTTAAATAAACCATAAAAATATTAAAAAAACAATAAAGACCCAGACATATATGAACACCTGATTTTGGATAAAGAAGCCCAAAATGCACACTGAAGAAAGCAGCATCTTCAACAATTGTTGCTGGTCAAACTGGATAGCTTCATATAGAAGAATGAAAATAGATTCATGTCTATCACCAGACAGAAAACACAGCTCCAAGTGGATTAAGGACCTCAACCTAAGACCAGATACCCTGAACCTGATAGAAGAGAAAGCAGGGAATATGCTTGGATTCACTGGCACAGAAAAGGGCTTTCTGCAAGGACCCCTGTTACATAGGCATTAAGATAAACAATAAATGGGACCTTGTGAAACTAAAAGGCAAAAGACATCATTCAAGCAAGGAGGCAGCCTACTAAATGGGGGAAAAAAATCTTTGCCAATTATGCATCTATCTGGTAGGTTTGCAACGTGACTGAACAGTTGCATAAGCTCCGTCTATCCCGAGGGTGGCAGAGAATTGACAACACTCAGTGCAGTGCCTAGCATATTACAAGGTACCATGGTTATTTTCCTATTTTATTTTTAGATGCTTTAGAAAGAGGGGGATCCAGCCTGTGGAGGTCAGAAAACTTGAAGGAGTTGTTTCTCTCCTTGAATTGTGTGTGTCCTGGGTATCAAACTCAGGTCATCAGGCTTAGCCCAAAGCTCCTTTATCCACTGAGCCATCTTGCTGACCTGCCATGGTTATTTTCATCATTTGGTTCCCAGATACTGTTGGCTGTTAAAAATCTTCTACTTTGTGTTTCTGGGAAAGGAAACACCCGAGTATAAAAAAAAGCCAGAAAAGCAGGGAGTAAACAACCTGGAACTGAGAGGTGGGGCGGTGGATGAGCTGGAGAGTGATCAAGGCTCTTCTGGTTTATTACTAGTCACTTGAATGAGGTTATTGACCAAGGTCACAGGAGCCAGGTGGCTTGTTTGGCAGAGGTGGAAGAAGCCTCTCTAGATTGTCTGGGTTAGGTAAAGAGGAGTTTTAAAAAGAGAGAGGCTAGGAGGTGGTAGGCACATGAATTTGATTGAATTTGGACCCTGGTGCTGCCACTGTAACCTTTCACTACCGACTCCATCTGCACAAGATGGGGACAAAACCTATCTTCTTCCTAGAGACTTTGTCTCTTCAGGCAAGAGTCTCATTGTGCAGCCCAGGCTACCCGCACACCCTCCATCCTCCTGCCTCAGCCTCCCAAGAGTGCTACCATTATACATGCTCCTTACCTTTGCCTGCTTTCCTTGAGTAGTGAGACAATTTTAAATACTTGATAAATTTACTAATATTCAGGCAGGGGAAAGAGGTTGAGACTCATGCAGTGTGGACATGAACCACTGTCGGATACGAACATCTGCCTCCTTTCTTCCCTCCCTCCCTCCCTCCCTCCCTCCCTCCCTCCCTTCCTCCCCTCCCTCGTTTGTTTTATTTTCAGGATAGGATTTCTTTGTGTAACCCTGGCTGTCTTAGAACTCAATCTATAGACCAGGCTGGCCTCAAACTCAGAGATCCGCCTGCCTCTGCCTCCCGAGTGCTGGGATTAAAGGCGTGCGCCACCACCTCCTGGATCCTAGAAAACTTTTCAGTTTTAAGGGTATGCATGCATCTATTTATTTATTTATAAATATTTATTTATTTATTTAATATGTATGCAATATTCTGTCTATGTGTATGACTGCAGGCCAGAAGAGGGCACCAGACCTCATTACAGATGGTTGTGAGCCACCATGTGGTTGCTGGGAATTGAACTCAGGACCTTTGGAAGAGCAGTCAGTGCTCTTAACCTCTGAGCCATCTCTCCAGCCCGCATGCATCTATTTATAACATTCTAGGTAAAATGGGCCTTGAAGAAAGCGTGCCCCTTTCCTAGAAGGACTCCCCACTGAGGGAGGCACATGGGAAGAAACAACAAGAAGAAGATATTAGTTCCAGCCTGCAAGGATCAGCATGACTGCTTGCTTGTCTACTCTGCCTCGAGTGGATTCTTGCTTCTTGCTGCTCTGGCTATAAACTCTCGCTGATTGTGTGATCTGCTCCTGTGTCCTGACTCAATTCTTCTCCTGGAGAACATACGAATTGAGACTGCTTCCGGCTTGAGACCAGAGGAAGCCAGAGACCTCCCCACAACACAGCTATATGGTGTTCATCAAAAAGATGAATGCTGTGCCACAGATATAAAGTGATGAGGCGCGAATAGAATTAATTTTAGGAGAAAATGTCTCTTAATGGATTGCAGTTTTGTTCAGTTAAAAAGCATGTGAAAATTCTGTTATGCCTTTCACATGTCACGTTTTCATCTGCTGAACATTAATGAACCCTGTTCAGTTTGTACCCCTGAACTTCTGGATGTTTAAATCTATGTTGCAGTACTGATATGTGGCATCGAAGAAGACATGTTGTGTGCTTCCTACTGTTGTAGTAGACACTGTACAGGTAGTGATGTGTGCTTACTTGTAGAGGCTAGAGTTGATGCTGGGAGTTCTTAGCCATCAGTCTCCACCATATTTTTGAGACAGATTCTCAGACTGAACCTGAAGTGGCAGACTTAGCTAGACTGAATGGCTAGAGAGTCCAGTCTGCCTGTGTTGGGTTTTCTAGATGAGTGATGGATCTGAACTAAAGTTCTCTAGCTTCTGGGACACATACTTGACCATCTCCACCATCTCCAAAGCACTGGGCTTGGCAGCAAGTCCCTTTCCCCACTGACCATCTTGCTGGCTTTTCTTATAAAATATTAAGTATGTTTGAACTGGAGTCCAGGAGAGAGGAAGCACACTAGGAGAATCTAGTTTAACTTTGGATATCGGTCCTCAGGGGCCACCCACTGTTCTTTAGAGATAGGGTTTCTCACTGACCTAGCACTCTCTGAACAGGACAGGATGGCTTGCAGTGAGCCCCAGGGATCTTCCCGTCTCTGTCTCCCCAGCACATGCCACATAACCTGTGCTTTTATGTAGGTTTGGGAGAGCTCAAGTCCTTGTGCCTGCAAGGCTAGCACTTTGCCAACTGAGCTATCTTCCCCAGCCCAGGAACTTGTACTTCAACCAGAATGACACGTGATTTGGACAGTTCGACTGATTTAAGGATCACTTCAATTTAGACAGATGAGACACCCTCCTAAATACGTTCTCTAATTTTCCTGATAGGTAGTCACCTAAACTCTTAAAGCCTCCCCTGACTGGAACTCATTACCACCATGCCAGCAAGGTTATTTCATCAGTGATTACATGCAATATTATGTATGCTTCCATAGAAATCATTGTTTACTATCCTGTGTGGATCGGGCCATCTTCTTTGGACAGAATTTCATACTCTTTAGGGTATTGGTTTTGAGTGTGGATCTGGGTTCTAATCCTTGCTAAACTCACTTTCCTTATATATACAATAGATGTGTTTTTACTCGCCTGGAAATATTGCACTAAAGAGTAAATGGAAAAACAGTGACAACAAAATGAAAAACAACAGACTGCCTTGGCCAGAAAGATTCTTGAATGTCATCAGACAACCTTTTCTTTTAGGGGAAATGGAGGAGGGTCAGGGTCTTGCTGTGTAACTCAGGCTATCCTTCTATGGCGATCTCCTAACTGCTGGAATAATAGGCAAGTCCCACCATACTCTGTCAAATATCTGTTTGAAGACTGTTCTTTATTGTTTAACCTCCTCTTCATGATGAATTTTTATTTCTTGCTTTAAAAAATTACCAGATGATGGCCTTTAATCCCAGCACTTGGGAGGCAGAGGCAGGTAGATCTCAGTGAGTTCGAGGCCAGCCTGGTCTGCAGAGCGAATTCTAGGACAGCCAGGGCTGTTACACAGAGAAACCCTGTTTTGAAAAATAAAATAAAACAAAAAATTATTTTGTTGCATTAACTTATTTATGGGTGTGTGTGTGCAAGTGCATGTCCCAGAATGCTTGTAGAGGTCAGAGGGAGGACAACACGTGGGCTGGGGGGCGTTAGTTCTCCACTTTCAGTTTTCTTGAGTTTATTTTTCTTTTTCCACATTAAAAAAAACTTTCCATGTGTGAAATTTGATAGTCATAAATATTAAAGTGAATTATTACAATTACTTTGAAATCATTGTCATGTTTTGCCTTTCATATTTTGAGGCAATGCCTATGTGTAGTTCAGACAGGCCTGCACAGGCGAAGCTGCTGTTCCTGTCACCTCAGGCCTCTTTATACAACAACCTTCGATCTTTTCAGAAAGGTGATGCTGATTTTACACTAAGTTCTCGGTTGTTCTCTGGGTGCCTATATTATAGACGATCAGAAAAAGGATGTGCTTTAATTATAGGCACTTCTATTGGAAGTGTTGGTTCTGTCATTGTTCTTACTAAAGAGTGAGTGTGGTTTTAGAATTGCCTGTGACTTCCATTCATGTTGCCAGTCTACATCAGGAAGGAGAACAAATGTTGATTTTATGAAGTAATTTTATTTATTGTTTTGTTCTGTGTTTCTATTTTTAGGACCGGAGTAGGCCCTATGACACTTTTAACTTGCACTCCTTGGAGAACTCCTTAATGGATATGATAAGGACTGACCATGAGCCTCTGAAAGGTAAACACTACCCTCCCAGTGGCCCACCAATGAGTTTCGCTGATATAATGTGGAGGAATCATTTTGCAGGTTAGGAATATTCATATGTCCATTCTTGCTTGGTGTTTTAAGCAAAAATCAGCTTTTTAATAATTGTGATTTTTTGTTTATTTGTTTTTTGTTCGTTTGTTTGTTTTGCTTCTGTAAAGCATTGTGGAATGTTTTTAAAGTTTTCTTTTTTAACCTGGGTTCAGCTACCTACAATAATCATAGCTGGTAACCTTAATCTGTTTATCTGGAAGAAGTACGTGTTGGGTAGCTGAGGTCATGGTTATAGCATGAAACCTGAAGCCACATTTTCTGGGCTTTGTACATTTGGAATCTTTAGCTGAATCTGCAGAATTCATTTAAGTCCAGGTATACCTCAAGAAAGTATGGCATTTAGTAAATCAGTCTCCAAAACCCCTACAGGAGGCTTCATTGTGTTAAGAGTCCAACCCTTTCCTAGCATGGGAGCACCAGAGCACAGCTTATGTGCAGCCAGTGGCCCTTTGCACAGTGCGGGCTAAAGCACAGGAAGATATCTGAAAGTATATGCATGTTTTAAGTTCATTATGAGGTAAACTGTTGCATGATCAACAATAGTAGGACTTAGAGAGCCTGTGTAAACTCATAATTACAGGTGTTTTTTTTTTATAGATTATTTGACATTTTAGAGACTCAACAGTATTTTAACACTGTGATGCAAGTTACTGGTATGGAAATACCCACTCCATTTTGAGTTAGACCTTTAATTAAAAACTGAACAGTTTGTCACAGGGATGACCATCTTGAGTGAATTCTACGACTTCTGGAATTGTGAGGACTTGTTCCTCTCTGGCATTCACTAGGCCCTTATCTAAGATGTGACCAACTGAATACCAGACATTTATCCCCCCTCCCCACCAGAAATCCTTTTCACCATTTTCTTGTCATTCTCATCTTTTCCCTGCTGCTTTTCTTATTTTCCAGTGAAGTAGTAACAGTAGGCAATGGAGAAAATAAAGTCTCTGGGGAAAAGCTAGATTTTTAAGGCCTTCAGCAAAAGAAAAAAGCAAAGGAAAAAATGCTGTTATATTTAGTCACTTACCACACACATATTCTTCAGTTAAAGATTAGGTCCATGGTAATTTGAGGCCTGTTATACTTAGAGGTGAGAATGATGTAAAACATGATACTCACAGATTGTTTTTAGACTCTTTTGAGGTTGGATTTATCGTTTTTCTCTACCATGGATAGCCTCTCCTGATTACCCTGCCACGTAACTCCTCTTCTCTTTGTGTACCTCCTGTGTCTTGGGCTGTATTCTCTGCCTGCCCCCCCATCTCTCCCTCTCCCTCTCTCTCTTGTCTCTCTCTTCCTTCTTTCTTTTTTCTGTGACAGGGTCTTACTGTATAGTTCAGGCTGTCCTAGAACACATTCTATATCCCAGGCTGACCTTCGAACTCAAGGCAATTCTCTTGCCTCATTCTTGTGACTGCTAGGATTGTAGGGTTACACCTTTGTATTCTTCTTTCAGTAAGAAATTAGGACAGGATTTTAGATTATAGTCTCTACATTAATTTTTAAGAATTTTATATATAGTGGTAAAGCAGAAACTATTTGAGCCTCATTAAGTATAGCACTGGCATAGTAAGAGGGTAACCTCATTATGATGTAAATACCGATTCCATTTGTGCTGTCCTTTTAAAATTACAGGCCCCATTATCTCTGCAGACTTTTCTTCACTAGCAAATATGAGGTAAAATCCTGCTTCATCATACATTCTAATGAGTTGGGAGACCTTTAGTGTATATTGTTTTATAATCTGAATATGGCTTCAACTTCCCAATTTGCCATATTGTACTGCATGATTTCCTATACACAGACTACTTCCCTGAAGTCAGTGACATCACTATGTCCCTGTGGTCAATGACATCACTTGCACCGTTAAGAAAATATTTTGACACTGGGCATGGTGGTGCATATCACAGTCTCAGCTCTTGGGAAGCAGAGGCAGGAGGATGATATAAGCTCAAGGCCAGCCTGAACTTATACATAACAAGTTCCTGGCCACACAGAGCTGCATAGTAAGACTTGTCTCAAAAAACCAAGAACAGGAACAAAGAAGGAAACAGAGGAAAGAAGATGTGTGAGGTGCTTTTCACTTTGAAAAAGTAAAGAAGATTGTCAGACTAAAGATTTGGCTATGAAGTTGAGCTGGATAGAAAGCTCAGCCTTCAGGCTGCAGAGATAGCTCAGCCTTCAGGCTGCAGAGATAGCTCAGCCTTCAGGCTGCAGAGATAGCTCCAGTCTGAGTACTTGTCTTGCACCATTATGGCCTGAACTCTTTTATGCCTAAAAGAGTTGGGCATATTAGTGTGTGCTCACAATCCCAGTGCTGGGGAGAGACAGGCAGACAGACCCTTGGCACTCACTGGCCAGTGGGCCTAGTCAGCTTATTAATTCCAGGCCATGGGAGACCCCATCTAAAAAGCAAACAAAAAACTATAACCTCACCAAAAACATGTGGATGGTACCCAAGGAATGATAGCAGAGGTTGTCCTCTGTTGGATCTCCACATGCACACATATGTATCTGCACACATGAAATGCATATACATACAAGTAACTTAAAGCAAAGAAACAATATGATGGTTGTAGCCTTTAGTTTCTATTTTCTATAATAAATACCTATGTTTCTTTCTGATATTTATAATTTATTAATAGAACTTAAATTTAGACTTTCTAGTTTTCCTTTTTCCTAGGTGATGTTGTTGTAAGTTTTTCTTCACATAGTTTTTGCTTAGGGCACATTCAGATGGCCTATGGTTCTAAAGATAGAAACATCATGTGGGTTGAGGCATTAGGAGCTAGATGATACATTAGGGCATCTACTGTGTGCTGGGATGTGCTTTGCCCTGTTCCATCTTGTTTTCTTTCCTTCCAGAGTATCCTCCTTAGATCCTCAGTCTTTTCCCTCTTCAATATGGAAACACTGTTTGTGGGGTGGGTGGGGTATGCGTGTCTTGAGACTCGAATAGAATTGGATTTTGGGGTACTCATTTGAACTGGTGTTATTTTTCTTAGAAATTGGCTTTCTTGAGGAAAGATCCCATATTTTGCTTACTATACAAAAAAGTTCAAATAATACATAATGAGTCAAAAAAGAAAGTTAAAAAGCCTACAGTAGGCTCTATACATAGAAAAAGCATAGCTATTTAGCTGTCTTTATTAAGAACCTTCCAGACATTCTACACTTTCTATATAGGAGATGAAATTTCAAAATGCAGCCTTTCTAACTTTATAGTCAGCCCAAACTGGATTTTAGTTCTTCATCTGCCTCTAGTTGACTATTGAACTGGATCCATTGGCTTCTTTAAAGATAAAACATCTTATAAAACAGGCGAGAAGATGACATCCCTGGCACAGGGAACTGCAGATACCACATGGGGTTTCCTAAGGAGGTGGATGTGGCTTATTTCTTGACTTCCGTAATAAATTAAGCCATATCAGTACAGATTTATTTCTTGCCCAATGTTGGCAGCAAATTGTCAGAGCTGTTTTTATTTTCATAGATAAGTAGTGATTACTGAAGGAGAAACCATCACATGTGTAGGAGAAAGAAACTGTCCTAGGTTACTTGACTTTCTAACTGTTCTGTTGTTGTGAAGATACTCCATGAACAAGGCAACTTACAAAAAAAAAGTATTTAACCAGGGACTTGCTTGCTGTTTCAGAGGGTGAGTCCATGACCATCATGACAGGCAAGCATGAAATAGGAGCAGTAGCCGAGCACTTGAATCTCAAGCTGGAGGTGGGGCTTGGGTAGAAGGGGAGGAGGGGAGAGAGGGGAGAGAGAGATCACAGAGAGACTGGGTCTGGTGTGGGTGTTTGAAACCTCAGAGCACAGCCATGGTGACGCACTTTTTCCAACAAGGCCACCTCCTAATCTTTTCCAAAGTAGTTTCATCAACTAAGTACCAACCATTCAAATATGACACAAAATTACTTCATGATATACTTAAAATGGACATTGTGTATATTCACAGTGGTAGTCATATAGAAGATATCAATATTTATTTAAGAAATATTTAGTGAAAAATCATTTTATTCAAGCATTCTTTTAAGTCAAGAAAAAGAAAAGGCTAGAGTGAGAATATGAAGTTTAGGAAAAGACTTCCGATTCAATAAATTAGACCTCACAGTTTTTTGTTGCGTTTGCGCTCATGCTGGGTCAGTCTAGCTGACGAATCACAGAGGAGTGGCTTGTGTGGGGTACACGTGTATGTAGCTCAGTCATAGAGCAATGTACATAGAGTCATTGAGTATGTAACTCAATGGTAGAGCATTGGGGGATACACGTGTATGTAGCTCAATGGTAGAGCATTGGGGGATACACGTGTATGTTGTATGTAGCTCAGCGGTAGAGCACTGGGGGATACACGTGTATGTAGCCCAATGGTAGAGCACTGGGGGATACACGTGTATGTAGCCCAATGGTAGAGCACTGTGCGGAAGCCCTTGGTGGGAATCCCAGCACATGTAACCTGCAGGAAAAAGGAAAGGAAAAAAGTGCCTTCTGGTGCAGTGACTGGCTAACTCAGTTTGGCTGAAACAGTGACAGAATAAAGGTCTTTTTGCCTTCCAATTTTTATATATATCACCTTCTCACTTAAGAGATGCCTCATATTGATGAGACAGGAGGGTTTGAGACAAATATAAGACATAGAGTTGTGTGCCAGGCAGTGGTGGCACACTCCTTTAATCCCAGCACTTGGGAGGCAGAGGCAGGCGGATCTCTGTGAGTTTGAGGCCAGCCTGGTCTACAAGAGCTAGTTCCAGGACAGGCTCCAAAGCTACAGAGAAACCCTGTCTCAAAAAACATATATATAGTTGTGAATATTCTTACTTTGTTTCTAAGCACGGGAATCCTTGAATTAGCAGAGGTAGGAGTGGTGGAAGGAACTGATCTCTGCTCAAATTCAACCCTCCTCTTAACTATGTAGAGAGAAAGGATTTCTAGTGTTAGAAATAAGACTAGAGAAAGGAAAAAAGAGTCATCACTCTGCT